ATGTACAGAGAATTTAAGATTATATCAACAATGAGATGTCTCTTTTTGACTTGTGCAAAACTAAAAGTTCCAGTTAAAGACAGTTTCCCTCCACAGAAGATGAGACCAACAAACATTATAGTAACAAACCATGTAGATTTAACCGCAGCTCCTCCTCCTGTCAGTCACTCTCAGTTTCAGTGTCGTATTAAATTGCTCCTCCAGCACCTCCTCTCCTCATCCTCCAAACCCAGGCCCATATCATTTCCTGTTATAGACTAACCTCGGCCCCCCATCTCAGAAAGGAAAGTTGATGTGGCCCCAACTGAAAGTTTGGGGACCGCTGGTGTGGCACCTCAGCATATGAGAGATGACCCATGGCAGCCCTTCGGAAGGGAGCGACTCAGAAGGCTGGGGCTGACATATGTTACTCAGCGTGACGAGCCGAGTCCGTAGACACCCAATTTGTGGACTTTCGAGGAAATTTTTTTGAAATTATTAAAACACAGAATTTAACCGTGTCCCCCGGCAGCATATGAGAGACCGCCCATGGCGGCCAAGCAAGCAGAGCTAGCCGCCCCCCGGCCCGCCGGCGCCCCCCCCCCCGGCACAGGCATTGCGTCCAGCAAGCAGAGCTCGCCGAACGGCAAGCCGGCGGCGCCCCCCCCCCCAAAAGTTTGGGGACCGCTGCCGTAGATGGACCTCGCTTGTATAAACAGATTCCAGGAGGAGTTCCTCAGTTTGTTCTGAATTTTTATCACACCTGGAGCTCCCCAACATATGGCTCTGGTTTCTCTTCTCCAAAGATCACAGTTAATCATCAGTCAAACTCAGATTATCGTTTGATCATCAACAATGTGGAGGAGGGAGACTCAGCAGTCTATTACTGTCACACATGGGATGACTCTGCTAAGGAGTACGTATCACAGTGATTTACACTGTGACAAAAACCTCTCACTGAACACTTCTGCTTTTTGAGACTCACATATCGTTACTATGACTGAAGCTTTCAGCCAATATGTCCTGTAACTCCTGCACATACAGTATACACATAGTAAATAATTTTCAATAAAATGAATGAATACATTGATTTACAATTTTAAAGGATTCCCTCATGAAACCTTACACCTATCTTGTGGGTTGTTATGTGTGCTTTATCAATTTAAAAGAAATGAACACAATTAAATTAAAACCATGAAAATGTAAGTCTTGCTCAACATATATATCAGTATAGAGATATCAGAAAATTAAAGAATTAGGTTGACGGTATGGAGAGAGAGACAGAAAGGCACCGAGGGTAGAGATAGAGAGACAGGTATGACTTTCAAAAAGGTCCAAGAACCAGAATATTCATGTTGTAGTTATGTGGTAATCTCCTTAACCATTAGACCACCAGGCAACATCACTAACTCCCTGTTCATTATAGAGCATCATTTCACTCTCCACCCTGTCTGTGCACAATATCAAGACAATATTGGAACATAATACCTCAAATGTATATTTTCTTGCCTGTTTCATTATTCAAAAATTAAATCAGAATCTTAATAAAATTTACCACCAAATGGAATATGATGATATAGTTCGAGAATTTCTGGAATTAAATGATTCACAGATACAAATGTAAAACTACATATTTTATTTCTGAATGAAAATGAGTTGTGTGTAATTAATGTAGAAACTCCTCCTCCTCCACTTCTCCTCTCCTCAGTGTCTTTATAAGCTTCAGTCTCTCTTCTCCTCACACTCCAACCCTGCTCACCTCTCAGCTGGACAGTAAGGGACGTTTACACCACACACTGACAACATGCTGGGGACGCTCTGCACTCTCATCGCTGCTCTAACATGTAAGATATTCTTCTCTTTCCTTTTATAGTCCATATTTTCAGACACAAACCTTTCACTCATGTGTTTCTGTGTGTGTGTGTGGACAGATGTTGATGCAGTGATAGTGCTGACCCAGACGCCTGCTGTCCACACAGTTTCTACAGGACAAGAGGTTGTTCTCAACTGCAACATTCAGAGAGATGATAGCCAATATGTCTATTGGTTTAAACAGGTTCCTGGTGCAGCTCCTCAGTACATTCTGAGATTTCATCATGGGGCCAGATTACTTTACTTTGGAACAGGATTCTCCTCAGACAGATTCAACTCTAAGTCCTCATCAAACATAGATTACCAGTTCATCATTAAGCGATCAGAGGCAGGAGACTCTGCTCAGTATTTCTGTCAAACATGGGACAACTCTGCTGATGAAGCTGTATCACAGTGATTCATGCTGTGACAAAAACCTCCTCACTAAACACTTCTGCTTTTTGAGTCTCTTTTCTTCACTGACAATGAATCCATCAACAAATTCTTTCTCTATCTTCACATGTAACTTTAAAAATGTCTGTATTTAAGCTGTTCTCATCTGACTCATTTCTTTGTATCTTTTCACACATATTTCTTATCCCTCTTGACGTCTTCATGTTCTGTACACTTCCCTTTACCTCAAGAATGACCCGTCATTGCTTCACGTCTCTGATGAAGCCTCTAACTGAATTTTAAATAAGACGCTAATATTGCATTCAGAAGCAACAGCTACCACTCAAAAGGTCGGGGAATAACTGTGTTTTCATACTTCACAATGCAGAACAAGCGTTTCATTTATTCGATGTACACCACTCACTTTTTCACAACAAAGGTCAAAGGTTTAATGAGACGTTAGAAAAATCACATAAAATGATCAGCAACTGAAACTGAGTTTTCATCCTCTATCAATGAAGCATCACCTCTCTACTCCTCCCCCTCTTCCTTCCCAGGATGCACCTGCAGGTCTCCTCTCCTGATTCACAGCTTCATGTAGATGAAGAGGTCAAGTGTCAGGCCTCTGTGAAATAAGAGGAAACTGTCCCTGGAATCACACTGATGTTTTAATGACTGTCATTTGGTCAAATCAGAGACGGTTTAACTCTGATGTGTGTAAATTATGTTCATGTGTGAAGAGTCAAAGCTTATATCCTGAAACTGAAGATTCTTGTTGACTCATGGAAATGTTGTCAATTAAATTATTCAAATGAAGCATGAATGTAAATTAAAGAGTTCACCTACACTGACGACAATGAATGAGTTAAAGACCGTTTCCCTCCAAAGAGGATTAAAGACCAACAAACATGACAAACCATGTAGATTTAACCGCAGCTCCTCCTCCTGTCAGTCACTCTCAGTTTCAGTGTCGTATTAAATTGCTCCTCCAGCACCTCGTCTCCTCATCCTCCAAACCCTCTCATCTGTCAGCAGTAAGCTCACTCTCCAAGTTACAAGGCCATTCTCAGCACACACTGACAACATGCTGGGGACGCTCTGCACTCTCATCACTGCTCTAACATGTAAGGAGGCTGACTTACTGCAGCTCTGACCTCATGTTGGATTCATCAGTCTGTGTGTTTCTCTTGACTCCATGTCATCTTGTTGTTTCCAGGTGTGAGTGGTGTGACGGTGGTGACACAGAAGCCTCCTGTTGTGACGCTGAGGAAAGGAGAGACAGCCACCATGGACTGTAACCTGGGGACTGTTACTAACAGTGCTGCTCGCTGGTACAAACAGACTCCAGGAGGAGTTCCTCAGTTTGTATTATATTTTTACCATACAAACAGTGCTCCAACCTATGGCTCTGGTTTCTCCTCTCCCAAATTTACATCTAATCACCAGTCAACATCAGATTATCGTTTGATCATCAACAATGTGGAGGAGGGAGACTCAGCAGTCTATTACTGTCAAACATGGGACAGCTCTGCTAAGGAGGACGTATCACAGTGATTTACACTGTGACAAAAACATCTCACTGAACACTTCTGCTTTTTGAGACTCACATATCGTTACTATGACTGAAGCTTTCAGCCAATATGTCCTGTAACTCCTGCACACACAGTATACACATAAATATTTTTCAATAAAATGAATGAATATATTGATTTACAATTTTAAAGGATTCCCTCATGAAACCTTACACCTATCTTGTGGGTTGTTATGTGTGCTTTATCAATTTAACAAAAAAATATCAACAATTAAATTCAAACCATGAAAATGTTAGTCTTGCTCTGTTACAGCAACATATATATCAGTATAGAGATATCAGAAAATTAAAGAATTAGGTTGACGGTGTGGAGAGAGAGAGAGAAAGGCACTGAGGGTAGAGATAGAGAGACAGGTATGACTTTCAAAAAGGTCCAAGAACCAGAATATTCATGTTGTAGTTATGTGGTAATCTCCTTAACCATTAGACCGCCAGGCAACATCACT